ACTCGAAATTCTCTCAAGTCTAAGGTTTTTATGCTGTATCACAGTCTATTTTGATTAACATCTCAGTTTATCATTTTTGATAACTTTTTATCCCTATAATATCTTTTCTATAGCTTTCCTTAGCCCTTTTGCAAATCCTATAATTTATTTCCCCATACAGTCCATCTCCCTTAGAGATAACCTTCTTAATGTTCAGGCTTTCACCTGTAATAATCGGTGACAAGCAGCAGCACCTATTCTCTTCTGTGCATAGGGCATCACACTAGTAACAGCTGACAGTAGTTCACATAGAAAAAACCACAGAACATCTACAAGCTCCAGCTTCATGCTCTTCTTTAAGTTATTTGTCATGACCAGGGAATGGAGAATTACCTTAATGGTGGTGGGGGATCAGTCTCCTTTTATATTTACCTTTCTGTCAGAGTACCTTTCAAAAGTTCCATGATTTAAAGCTTCTTTGAAGAGATGTCACAAATGTGTCCAGAAAGACCTAGATCAGGGAGAGCCAAATTATCTTCTCTGAATTTATTCCACAATGTTAAAGGAGGACATTCTATGTAATAGGCACTTTTTTAGACACTGGAGTTATGAAGATGAACAAGGATTGAGAGTATAATAATGGAGTATGCTTTAAAAGAGAAATACACACTGTGCCAGAAGACCACACAGGGGACAGAAGATCAGGCAAGGGTCCCTAGAAGGAATGGCCCTTGAAGGATGAGTAGGAGCTGCTTGAGCAAACCCAGTAGAACAAGATTTTCATTTTAGAGAGAACAGTGTGTGCAAAGGCACTGAGATGTAAGAAGACTTGCTTAAATAAGAAACTTTTTAAAAAAGAAATTTGAGAGGTAAGGAGGGAAAAATGAGTGCAAATGTAAATGAGTACATAGGCCGAATATTAGCTTTCCATTACTATAACAAATACCTAAGACAATCAACTTAAAATAGAAAAATTTTATTTTAGCTCACAGTTTTAGAGGTTCTAGTCCATGATCAAGCAGACCCATTGCTTTTAGGCCTCTGGTGGGTATGTCAGATGTCAATGGCAGGGAGTTTACAGCAAAGCAAAACCACACCTTATCACTAGAAAGAAAATGAGAAAAAGGCATGCCCCCAGGAACCCAAATCCTCTGACTATGCCCCACCTCTTAAAGGCTTCACAACCTCCCATGATGCCACTTTGGGAATCAATCCCTTATTAACATATGGGTCTCTGGGAGACATTTAAGATTCAACTTATAGCAGTGATGGGTGTGAGAAACACACTCACATGTCCAACTCAAAGAATGGACTCAGGGACAAAGGAAAGGAGAAAGTGAGGATTTAATTTAATGATGGTCTTGGAAGATTGTTACACCTAGAGTTGTTACAATCAGTATTTTATCCCCTAAAGCACAATACCCCTACCAGGTCCTCATTGGCTGAGTACTATGGGATGCACAATCTTCCCAAACCTTGCCTAAGTTATTTAAAGAAATATATCTTTAGTTATTCCAACCTATTTTGTTCTCTTGTGGTGGGAAGGCCTTTCTGGGATTGAGTGCATTTTGGCATGTATGACATTTATCTTTGTTGGTCAGGAAGGCCCTTTCCCCTCCCCTCCTGTAGTCAGGGGGCTGTGAATCTGTCACAATCAGATGCTAACTGCTGGTAACCATTTGTTCTATTTCTTCTTACACTGATTTTCTTATATCCTCAGTAATTTTATATTTAAGGCTAAAAACCGTATTCTGAAATTGGACCACCACTTTCTATTTCTCACAGTGAGTAGAAAGAAGAGGAAGTTGAGGGAGCTTCCCTCTGAGGGCCTTTATTTTCTTTATGAAGTAGCAGGCAGTGTCATCCTAGGTGAAGGGATAAGAATGAAAAGGGGGCTTAAGGAGATAACTGTGGAAAGAGAAGTGAAACTAACCATGGAGGAGAATCACTGAGTAGTATTGAGACAGCCTGTGAGAAGCAATAACATAGCTGTTGCAATTTAGGAAGCTGAGGCAGGAGGAAAGCCATTTATTTTGAGGCCAGCCTCAGCAACTTAGCAAGATGCTGTCTCAAAATAAAAAATAAAAAGGGCTGGGGATGTAGTTCAATGGTAAAGTAATCCTGAGTTCAATCCCCAGTACCCAAAAACAAACAAACAAACAAATTAATTAAATAAAGACCTCTTTCTGCCCATTTGCCCTTTTAGCTAACCCTAACCCTGACTATTTTCTCTTATCTCCTCAAATGGAACTTTCTAACTGGTCTCAATTTTAATTTTTATTTATTTACTGTGAAAGCACTAATTTTTTCTGAAGTAATATTCAAATATTCTTAGAATTTCTGTAGATTTGATATCTTAGGCTCAGAAAACATTTGTGAGCACCAACCTTGTAGCTGGTTGCTAACACACTAAATGCAATGTGGTTTGCTCTTAAGAAACTTAGTGATAGACAGTAAGAGAGGGAGCAAAAAGGAATATAAGAAGTAAGTGAATAACAGTACTAAAAACAGAATATGAACAGTGCATTACAGAAGCATAAATCATTATATTGTTTGCAGGTTCAGTGTCCAGAGCCCAACTGAGAATACCATCAGGGCCTAAAACAGCCCATCGTTTTAGAACACAGGCTCTATTTCTTTCTCTCTCTCTCTCTCTCTCTCTCTTTTTTTTTTTTTTTTTTTGATACCAGAGAGTGAACTCAGGGACACTCAACACTAAGCCACATCCCCAGCCCATTTTGTATTTTATTGAGAGACAGGGTCTCACTGAGTTGCTGAGCGCCTTACCATTGCTGAGGCTGGCTTTGAACTTTCGATTCTCCTGACTCAGCCTCCCGAGCTGCTGGGATTGATTTTTTTTTACTTGTGGGTGGACATATAATACCTTTATTTTATTTATTTATTTTTATGTGGTACTGAGAATGGAACCCAGTGCCTCACATATAGGAGGCAAGCGCTCCATCACTGAGCTACAACCCCAGCTCTTGCAGGGTTCTTTTTTTTTTTTTTTTTTTTTTTTTGTGGTGCTGGGGTTTGAACCCAGGGTCTTGTGCATGCTAGGCAAGCACTCTACCAATTGAGCTATATCCCCAGCCCTTACAGGGTTCTTTTAAGACCATGAAGAACCACCCACAGGAAAGAGTGACCCAGAAAGCTGAGAGCCACTCCACTAGAAAAAGTGACATCGATCTGTAAGCATATGGAAACAACCCACTTCCTCATTTCTTTCATCCTCCTGTGATACTTGATTGCTTTCATGAACCTGCAGCTGCTGGAAAAGCAGCCCAGCCTTCTGATTCCTCACTGCCTGGCTTTGCTTTCTTTTCTTTCTTTCTTTATTTTTTTTTTTAATTTTTTAGTTGAACATGGACACAGTACTTTGTATTAGTTATTTATTTATTTTATGTGGTGCTGAGGATCAAACCCAGTGCCTCACATGTGCAAGGCAAGCGCTCTACCAATGAGCCACAACCTCAGCCCCTTCTTTTCTTTATTTTTTAAAAATATTTTTAGTTGTAGATGAACACAATACCCTTATTTGTTTGTTTGTTTGTTTATATGCAGTTCTGAGGATCAAACCCAGTGCCCCAAAGTGCTATGTAAGCGCTCTACCATTGAAACACAACCCCAGTCCCTGAATTTACTTTCTTGATAGTGTTTCACTTAAAATTAACTGTTCTTGTTCATATTTTATATTTGATGAATCTTAACCAATTTCATCCATCCCAGCCAGGAATTTTCTGGTCTTAACCTCTGAGCCATTTAATCAAACAGTAGTTTATGTCAGCAGACTCCTTTACCCAAGAACAACTTCTTCCACCAACCTACAACCTACATATTTAACCTCATGCCAATCAGCCACATTCTCACTACACCAAGCCTCAAGCTTAGAGAAACAAGAATCTTGAACATCATGGAGCAAGCACAATTTGAGTTAACTTAAAACTACATTTTCCCAGAGCTAAAGCTATTATACTATTTTAATCATAGTTTATTTTGGTCAAGTATAGCTAGTTAGTTTACACTCAGTTCTCTTTATTAATGATTTCTAGGTTTTCTTCTACAGCAGTTGAGCTGATCATATTAGTTTCTGCCCCCTCCACATTTTAGTAATATGATGAATTACTAATTACTTGTGTTGAACCATCCTTGCATTCCTGGGATATATTCTGCATTATCATGGTGTATACTCCTTTTGATATACTGCTGGATCCAATTTGCTAGTACTTTGTTGAGGATATTTGCAACTAGGCTTTTTAAAAAGATTTACCATTAGAGTCATTAAGAAACTCATTTCTTGCCATGTAATAGTCCCTTATGATTATGTTTCTCAAGATAAGTTCAATGGTATTTATAACTTCCTTCATTATAATGTTTTTTGAATTCTTGAATCATAAAGCTTATTTCTTAAATATCCTTATTTAGAGAAATAAACTTTAGGCAACAATAATAAAGACAAAAGGTACTCCAAACATCATTCTCAAATGCATGACCAGCACAGCACTGAAGGGTTCCATCACACAGTTATTGAACAAAAGAGGTTCTCAATCTGCTTTCACGTACACAGCTTAACAGAGACAGCTTGGGTAGTTCTTGTCCATTACACTAGAATAGTTCCTGACACTTAATGGGCCATTAAGAAATATTTTTGATATTAATAAAGGAATAAATAAATACAGTCTCTGTATTTTGTAAAGAATAAAATTTCTTAATCTCAAGTTTATCCTGACAGTGAATAATGTTTTATTTGTGCTTTTTCAATAGTATTTTCTTCTTAAAAAGTCAAACAAAACATGAGCTATTTGTCTTAAGAATCTCTGGAATCTGAACTAGATGGTAATAGGGTAGATAGTAGCTCCACCCCCGCCCCATAGCACTGTTTATGAACAGGCCTCTACTTGTTTAGAATACACATCTACTCCATCTCCTACCACACTCCACAGACAGGTGGCCTTGTAATTGCAAATACTCATGTGTATAGTTCATGTCATGAAGACTGAATAGAGGTTTTATTAATTCAGCTTTCAGGCAGACCCAAAAAAACCCATTGGGGGACACATTCTGGCTCATGCTTCAACAACAAGAATAAGTTTGCGCAAAGGAAGAGGAGAACTGAGAATTGCCAAGATTTATGACAGGTAAATATTTTCTTATTCTTCATCAGATTTTTGTGCATATAGTTTTAAACAGAATTGTTGCTCCTGAGAGGCTATAATTATTCTGCTGGCAGATGCTACATATTTGAGTTTCCTTTCAAAAAATTATGCAATGATTGGGAAGTTATACTGTGTGCTAGGTCCTAGGGATCCAGGGATTCTGTTGACACATATATTTGGTCTCTGACCTCTCAAAGTGAAGTAAAGAATGAAATCACATCAATTCAAATTAAAAGGTGCACGGTGCCAGCGAAGTAGAGTATGGGAAAATATTCTCTCCTTTCTCTTTGTACATTAATGTTTCAGTAAATATCACTTTCTCAGAGATCCTTTCCCTAATCCTCGTGATACAGGATATACTAAATATGATATCCTTTATTTTCCACTGTACTTTAATTAAGAATTATAGGCTGGTTGATGTGCTCAGTGGTAGAGCACTTACTTTTCATCACCTGTCCCTATAAAAGACCAAAATACATACAGCTATGTTCTAGGGAGCTTCCAGCATCTCTAAAAATTTACTGTAAACACAGGACATGATGGTGTAAACTTGTAATCCAGTGTCTTGGGAGCCTGAGACAGGAAGATCTCAAGTTTGAAGTCAGCCTCAGCAGCTTAGCAAGGCTCTCAGCGACTGAGTAAGAGCCTGTCTTGAAACAAGAATTATAAAGGGCTGGGGATATAGCTCAGTGGTAAAGCACCTCTGGGTTAAATCCCCAGCACCAAAATAAATAAATAAATAAATAAATAAAAATCACTGCAAATATGGGTGTAGCTCAGTGGTAGCACTTGTGTTTAGCAAGCACAAGGCCCTTGGTTTAAGCTTTAGCACAAAAAAATATATATTTAAATATGGCAAATGTTCTTTGTTGAATTCAATAGACAGTTCCATCTTGTTACAGAAATTTCTTGGTCTATTTCATGGACAGAATACTATGCCTAGAACTTTCCCAAACACTTTTCACTCACTGTTCACTGTACATCTCCCTTACAACAGGGACTGAGTCTGATTCACTAATGTCCAAGAACCTAGCCTGGGACTAGGTATATTATAGACACTCATGAGCTATTTGTTGAATTTACAAATGAATAAACTTGAGCTAAATGTTCAGTCATTTGTATGATCAGCTTTTGGAAGTTCTAGGAAGCTGTTTGGGCTCTACAAATTCAACAAAAAATAGTTATAGTAAATTATCATAGAGATTAGTTATGTCTAAGTTCCCATAAACTTGATTCAAATCAGCAAAACCAGATCAGAGCTTAAAATATCAAAACTCAGCTATGTATCATGTATTCATTTCTTGTTGGCCCCTATCAATTTCTTATGATGAATTCTCTTTGAATTCTTTGAATAGAGAAGATGATAACACTAATAATGATATCTAACATTTAGTGGCTACTATGTGCTAGGCCAGGTGATTTTTATATTTTATTTCATCATTTATAACAACCACCCTAAGAGGTAGTAATTATTATCCCCATTTTATACCTGAAGTAACCAAGGTCACAAGAAGTTAAACAGTACTCCTTTCCAGTCTATTTTAAACACAGAAGCCAGAGTGAACCTTTGTAAAACTGTTGGATCATATCTGTCCTGTGTTTAAAACCCCATCAGTAACTTCCTATCTCCACTCAAAACAAAAGCCCAAGTCTTAGGGAGTCTGCATAGCAATCTGTGGATGGCCCTGTTCCTCTCCATCTCCCACTAGCTCACTGTGCTTCATCCTCAGTGGACAGGCACTCTAAGCATGCCAACAACTGTTGAACCTTAGAGTCTTTGTACTTGTTCCTTCTGCCTGGATAATGTCACCCTCATAGTCCCCTCTCTGCTTATCTCCTTCATCTACTTCAAGGGTTTGATCAAATGTTGCCTTTTCAACAAGGCCTGTCTTAACCTACTGATCAAAACTGCAACTGAGGGGCTGGGATTGTGGCTCAGTGGTAGAGTGCTCACCTAGCATGGGCGGGACCCGGGTTCAATCCTCAGCACCACATTAAAAAATAATAATAATAAAAGTATTGTGTCCATCTACAACTGAAAAGTAAATATAAAAATTAATTCCCACATTTTTTTAAAGAAAGAGAATTTTTTAATATTTATTTGTTAGTTTTCAGTGGACTCAATTATTTTTATGTAGTGCTGAGGATTGAACCTAGTGCCTAGCGCATGCCAGGCGAGCACGCTACTGCTTGAGCCACATCCCCAGCCCTAATTCCCACATTTCTAATCTCCCTTACTCAACTCTATTTTTCTTTACCTATAGCATTTATTTTCTAACATAGCACACCTGTGCCATTATTTGTTATCTGTCTCAACCCTCCCCAAATATAAGTTCCATAAAGGCAGAGATCTTTCTCTATTCTTTTCTTCATTTACAGATCTCAAGTGCCTACCACAGGGATATAATAGGTACTTGATAAATAATTTCTTACTGAAAAAAATTAATGTATTCATGCCATATCACACAACAAATTAAAGATAGAACCAGGATTAGAATCTATGCTGTCTGAATATCTATGCATTTTAAGTCATTACACTATTTCTTAGCTAACTGAGAAATAGTATAATAGAAGTAGCTATTTAGACTAGTTATAGTTAATCTACTATAGTTACTCTTATGGCTTCAACTACTACTTTTAAATAGATATAAAATAAAAATTCTTTCTTTTCTTTTTTGTTGGGGGGAGTGATACTGGAGATTTTCAGGGGTAACACTGAGCTATACTCTCAGACCTTTTTATGTTATATTTTTAAATAGGGTCTCACTAAGTTCTGAGACTGGTAACCCTCCTGCCTCAGTCTCTCCAGCATTTCTTACTTAACAAGAAAAAGAATCTCCAAGAATTGGGCAGAAAAGGGTTCTCAGAAGAATTTCCAGATGTGCAGGAGTTAACCCAATCTGGGCTATGAGTTTGGCTCAGTGGGAAAAGCACTTACCTAGCATGCCCCAGATCATGAGTTCAATCCCCAGCACCACATTAAAAAAAAGAAAGAAAGAAAAAGGAAAAAGAATTAACCCAATCCTCCTTTCTCTTGAATATCACTATAGTTTCTGCTGTAGCTCTTCTGCCCCTCAATTATACATTTTTTTCTTTCAAACTTTTTTTAACATTTATCTTTTAGTTGTAGTTGGGCACAATACCTTTATTTTATTTATTTATTTTTATGTGGTGCTGAGGGTCGAACCCAGGGCCTTACAGGTGCTAGGAGAGTGCTCTACCGCTGAGCCCCAACCCCAGCCCTCTTTCAGACTTTAAATGAGCAAATAAAAACCCCACTTTTCTTTCTTTTCTTTTTTTTTAGAGGGGGGGCTGATACTGGAGATTTTCAGGGGTAACACTGAGCTATTCTGTCAGACCTTTTTTATGTTATATTTTTAAATAGGGTCTCACTAAGTTCTGAGACTGGTTTAAACTTGTAACCCTCCTGCCTCAGTCTCTCCAGTCACTAGGATAACAGGCATAATCCACTACACCCTGCAAAAGCTCCACTTATTTTAATCCATTTAGCATACTTGAGATAATAAACTTTAAAAACAAATCTATTGAATTCAAAGTAAGAACAAAGTTTTTTTAAAAAAAAAACTACAATAAAATAAAAAGGTATACAGATGGTCAAGTTTCTGAAGTATTTGATTCTGATTCTATTTTAAGAACAAAAAAAAATCAATCCTAGTTTAACTATTTTGTGTGGCTTCTTTCTTTTTTAGCTCCTTGTCTTTAAAGAGAACTTCCATTTAACATTCTGCCATTTCTAAGTAGCTGATTGAGTGGTTTTCAATCAAATCCAAAAAGTTATTTTGTGTTTGGCACAGTGGTGCATACCTGTGATCCCAGCTATTTGAGAGGGCTAAGACAGGAGGATCCCAAGTTCAAGGTCAGCTTGAGAAATTTAGTGAGATCCTCAGCAACTTAGCAAGGCCTCAAACTAAAATAAAAAATGGTCTGGGGATGTAGCTCATTGGTAGAGTGCCCCTGGGTTGAATACCAGTACTACCAAAAAAAGAACAAAAAGCTCAAAACTCATTGCAGCAACTTAGTGAGTCCCAGTCTCAAAATAAAATTTAAAGGGCTGGGGATATAGCTCAGTGGTAGAGCACTTTCTTAGTATGCATCAGTCCCTGTGGATTCATCCCCAGCACTGGAAAAAATTTTTTTATTTTGTAAGACCACTTAGGTCTTCTTACTCAACTTCAGTTTTAGTCCAGCAAGACCTACCTTATCTGTGGCAATCTTCAGAGGAGACACTTCTGCTATTTCCTAAGGGAAATAACCTCATCCATTGCTCAAAACTACACTGCCTATTCTCTACCCTTCAAACAAAACAAAACAAAAACATTTCAAAGTCTTTTACAGTTTTCCCCTACATTAGTCTAATCAGTAAATGGTACATACTCACTCCTATAGAATCAGGCCCCTCAGGCCCATCTAGGCAATGCCTGACTCTACACTGAAAGAACACTCAGTTACCCCTTTTGCTTATTTCCAAGTTTGGGGTAATTTTTCAGAACCTTACGCGTAGAAGTTGGTTAACAAATGTTTGTGAAGGTGGATAATACTTTTAGGTAAATTCTGTAGTCCACATTTAGCTGTACTGACTGTGAAGTCTCAGGAGACTCAGACTGATAGGAGCAGGATGCCTGTGACATGAATATAGTATTTATAGAAGTAAAGCTTTTTATAAACTTCTGTTCCCTTGTATTCTGTTAGCCCTGAGATGCCTGAAAATGAAGCCACCTTCGCAATAACTGCTGGAGGAATTGGGGATGCCAAGGAGTAGGTGGTGAATTGATGCAAATTGCTTCTCAGTGCTTATTAGGAGCTGAAGAGATGGAAAAGCAGTCTTGCATTTCAGATCTTGAAATAAGAATTTAGTTTTTTCATATGTTATTAAAGGAAAGTCAGCAAAAGAATTACATTTTATATTTATCTTAAAAGTCTCTGATATATAGCTATACATTGCATGTCATTTCAAGAATATACACATATATTCCTGAATTGTTTATACTAGGTGCATGTGTGTGTGTTTATCTACTTAACAGAAACTAGTTGGGGAAGGGATGCCACATTGCTTCACTTTCATTTTTCCAAGTGAACCACTAAGCAAAGTGAAGGTCTGGGAGCTCAAAAAGCCCCTTCTCCTGCAGACTTCCCCTCAGTACTCTACCACTGAGCTACATCCCTAGCCCATTTTTTATTTTAATTTGAGACATTAGCCTTGCTAAGTTGCTGAGGCTCTCACTAAATTTCCCAAGCTGATCTTGAACTTGGGATCCTCCTGTCTTAGCCTCCCAAATAGCTGGGATCACAGGTATGTACCACTATGCCCAACACAAAATAACTTTTTGGACTTGATTGAAAACTACTCAGTCAGCTACTTAGAAATGGCAGAAAGTTAAATGGAAGTTCTCTCTAAAGAAGACAAGGAGCTAAAAAAGAAAGAAGCCACATAAAGTAGTTGAACTAGGATTGATTTGTTTTGTTCTTAAAATAGAATCAGAAGCAACTACTGTGGGGAAGTACTGGGGCACAGTACTGCTGACTTACAGAGCTTGATGCTCTTCTGCAGTAGGAAGATGGTTAAGCAGACAATGTTTATAGATACCAAAAAAAAAAAAAAAAGCTTTTTAAATTTACACTATCAAACTATGTAGTCACCTTAATAGCAACAGAAAAAACAACAACATTAAATTATTCAAATTTTAAATCATTTGACCTTTTGACAAGATGAAATTATTTTTAAAATGTATTTCTGATGCATGCATATTCTCTTGGGAAGGTAAAAAAGTAATTAGAAAATTTATGATATTGGATAATAAAGGTAATATGATTTTTATATTTTAAGTTTTGGGTAGAGAATTAAAAATATTTTTTAAGGGCTGGGGATGTGGCTCAAGCGGTAGCGCGCTCGCCTGGCATGCGAGCGGCCCGGGTTCGATCCTCAGCACCACATACCAACAAAGATGTTGTGTCCGCCGAGAACTAAAAAATAAATATTAAAAATTCTCTCTCTCTCTCTCCTCTCTCACTCTCTTTTAAAAAAAAATATTTTTTAAATGTTAAAGTTAAATTTAAAATTTCTAAATAGTAATTTTAGAAATGTATAAAAGACTATTGTTGTTTTTAATTGTTAAACAAATAAAATCTAGCTTTCAAAATATTTATATGATGAAATATTTAAAATTAAAAGATTAATGATATATATAAGAACAATCTTTATAGACTTCAGACTTTATCTTTCATGTTGCATTAACTTATATGAAAATTCAAGTATTAAAAGCACTTTTTTATAAAACTTATTTGATTATCCATTAAATCTCTTGCTCACTAGTTGTTTCTGAATGCTAAGTGCTGAGGACAATACAAAGAAAGATGATTCCTGCTTCAAAGTTTGTACACTAGTTAGAAGACTAATTTTTATAAAAATAAGAAAGCAAATTACTATATAATTATTTTGTCAGTTGCATGGTCTTGAATTGACCCTTAAAAGAAAAGTAGAAATCCAAAAGTGGCAGAGAAAAGATATCAGAGAGCACTTACAAAGGTACAGAGGCTGGGAACCAAAAACAAAGACCAGCCTGGAGAGCAGAGACTGCTCACAGTGCAGTAATGGAGAAGCAGAGCCTTTTCTTCCTTCTACTGTTTTTAAACCACAGAAGCTACTTCTCTGAGTAAAGCAGAAATAAAAACATGAAGGAGCAAAGTTTTTGTATTCTGTAAAATTACTTTAGTGGATACTTCTGATATGCACATTGTAAGGCATGCTTTTGTCCTGCAAGGAAGGGAAGGTTTTGTTACTTGATGCTTTGTTTATATTTTTTATTTTCTGTATATTTTGATTTATCTCAAAAAGTCTTTCTGGCCAAAAAAGAAACTGCTCCTCCTGGGGCTAGCCAATTTATAGGAATAGGAGAGGGCCTTTGATATACAAACAAACCAGTCTGCATCAGCCCTCCTGTAGGTGCTATTCCTCAATCATCCCAGGCCCTAGTACCAGCCCATTCCTCTGTAGTTTAGAGCCCATGGAGTTTATTCCAACTGGCCAATCCTAAACCAGCTACCCAACCCTGTCCTGCCCTGCCTTGCCTTTCCCTCAGAAATTTCAATGAAGGTCATGGTCCAGGCTCTTCCTTCATTCCAGTCTTTACCTTGGTGTTGTCTCCCATGCCCCCAAATGGCATGTGGTAACCCCCTTTCTAAAATCAGTAAGTATAAACTTTCTTTTCTATGAACCTTTCCTATGTTTTCTCCTGTGGCCACGCTGACTGACCATCCTGTGCATACACAATTTGAACAGTCTTTAACAACATTCTTAATAAAAACTGAACATCTTGAGGTCAGGCATGCCTGTTATCCCAGCAGTGCAGGAGGCTGAGGCAAGAGTATCACGAGTTCAAAGCCAGCCTCAGCAATTTAGCAAGGCTCTAAGCAATTCAGGGAGACCCTATCTCTAAATAAAATACAAAAAGGGGGGCTAGGGATGTGGCTCAGTGGTTGAGTGCCCCTGAGTTCAATCCCCAGTACCCCCAAAAAAGAAAAAGAAAAACCTGAACATCTCCTCGAGATTCTCAGGTATGGACAGCCCTGAAGAGGGAATAGACCAATTGGTCTAGAAACCCAGAGCCCTTTGGGAAGGAAGAAAACAAAACTCCCAAGATTGGAAAATCAGAACTTTTTCTGGGTGATAAGGAGTACCCTGACAATGGTGAATTTACCAAAAGATGGGCATTAAGGTTGGAAACCAGGGTCAACAGATGGGTCTGTAGTTCTATGAGGAGGGCTGGTTTCAATATGGTATGATGCCAAGGCAGGAAACTTGTCAGGTCCAGCCACTCTGTCATGTCCTGCTTTGGAAAACAGTGGCTGAGCATGCAAATGTGAACTAAAAAGCTGTAATTTCAGACCTAACTTTGGGTTACTGCTGCAAATCGCACAAGTGCCTGGGCCAGCAAGAGCATCGCCCACTGAATTTCTGTAGGCCAGAGTTCACTTTCTCACTTGTTTCCAAAGCATCAATGTTTCCTAATCCTCCATCTCCACCTGAGAGTAAAAGGAGATCTGGCTTCATATTTTAAGGGAAGTGAGGGTGTGGGGCCTAGGTGTGGAGCATTCAGAAAGAGAGTTTATTGCCTGGCACAGTGGTGCATGCCTGTAATCCCAGTGGCTGGGGAGGCTGAAGCAGGAGGATTGAGAAGTCAAAGCCAGTCTCAGCAACGGCAAGGCACTAAGCAACTCATGAGACCCTGTTTCTAAATAAAATACAAAATAGGGATGGAAGTGTAGCTCAGTGGTTAGGTGTCCCCGAGTTCAATCCCTGGTACCAGAAAAAAAGAAAAAAAGAGGGAGAGAGAGAGAGAGTTTATTGGTTAGGGTTCTTTTAGTTGCAAGCCACATAAATGAGCATGTTCAAGACAAGGATTCATTGGCTTAAGAGACTGAAAACTGGGCTAGGGATGTGGCTCAAGCGGTAGCACGCTTGCCTGGCATGCGTGCAGCCCGGGTTCGATCCTCAGCACCACATACAAAGATGTTGCATCCGCCGAAAACTATAAATATTAAAATTCTCTTTCTTAAAAAAAAAGAGAGAGAGAGACTGAAAACCCAGAGGAAGAGCTCATTTCAGTCTCAGGTGGAGCTGAGATTTTAAACTACTCGTCCTTGCTGTCTCTGCCTCCTACTTCGCTTGTTTCTTTGCTGCCATTGTTATTGGAAAGGCTACCCCAGGACAGTAGCCGTGGCAGCTCTAGGCTACCATTCCACTACGTTAGAAACCCACTAGAAAAAGTATATCTTTTTCATCATAGATTATTCATTCTGTGAAGATAAACAAAAACCACCCAAATGAGAACAGACAGAGGCCAGGCTCAGTGGCACTTGCCTGTAATCCCAGCTACTTTGGAGGCTGAGGCAGGAGGATTGAAAGTTTGAGGCCAGTCTCAGCCACTTAGCAAGACTGTGTCTCAAAAAAATAAGAAGGACTAGAGATTTCATTCAGTGGTAAAGTGCCCCTTAACTGAATTGCTGGGTTCAATCCCCAGCGTCTGATGCCCAGAGGCTATTTATTCAGAGCTTGCTATAGCAAATGAGTCTGTGGCCATCATTTGCTTTCAGTAGAGCCAAAGACAGGTGAAGGAATGGGAACGAGTTGGAGCAAAAAATGGGAAGGTTTCCGGCATGCTCTGAGTGGAGTGAGAGAGATTTCCAAACAATCCTTAAGATCTGGAGTAAAGTAGACTATAACAAGGAAGAGCAGGTTCAAAGTCCTGCTGCAGCCCACCAGAGAGGATTATGATTCATGAAGAGGAATAAAGAAGAGTAAAAAATCAGGGCTTTTACCTGAGAGGGCTATCATCTGAGCTTGCTAAGACTGCCATAACAAAGTGCTGCACACTGCCAGTAAACAATAGAAATGTATTGTCTCACAGTTGTGGAAGCTGGAAGTTCAAGATCAAAGTTGATTCTCTGGGGGCTGTGAAGAAGAATTGGTTTTATGCTTTTTCCCTAGCTTCTGGAGGTCATTCCTGGGCTTGTAGAAGAATCATCGGGATCTCTGCCTTCATTTTTCACATGATGTTCTCCCTGTGTGCACATCTTTATGTCCAAATTCCCCTTCTTATAAGGACATCACTCATACTAGAATAAAGTGATATCCTAATCCAGTATGAACTCACCTTAACTCATGTGCAAAGACCTTACTTCCAAATAAGGTTGCATTTTGAAGTTTGGGAGTGAAGGACTTCAACATGAATGTTGGTAAGGCACAGTTAAGCCTAAAATATTAAGAATCATGTATAACTGAGGGTTAAACACAAGGATAAACAAGACATAATCTGAAGTTAATACTGACTAGAGTCCTAAACATGCAAATCAAGGGCTGGTGGTGTAGCTCAGTGACAGAGCACTTGCCTAGCCAAGTGCATGAGGCCCTGGGTTCCATCACCAGATGAAAGGAAAAGAAGAAAAAAAAATAGAAGTCAAGATCTGGAGGAACCTTTACTAGGAAAAACACAGAGGTAGGAATAGATGTTCTCTACCATCCCTCCTAATTTTCCTGCTCAATACTTCTTCAAAGAGCAAAGAAAAAATACGAACAGAAAGTCATGAGATTGGAATAAAAAAGGATCATAAAGGAGACTGAGAGATTAAACGCAAGGGCTAGCTTTCATGGAGAGGAGAGGACTGGACCCTTGACACTGAGCTGCAGCCAGTCCCCTTTCCTGCTGACCTGGGCTTGTTAGATCAGATTCATGTGGCACTTTTGGGTTGTGGTTTCCATTTCTCTATCATAATAAAACTCTGGCTCTCTTTTTAAAAGTCACCTCTCCCTAGATCATGTAGTCTCTCCTGAGACACAGGATACTGAATGATAGTGAAGAGCATGAGTGAGATCATTCGGTGACAGCAGGGATGGCAGGGCAAGCAGCAGTAGCAGTGACCTGAGCAGGCTGTTCTTGCTGCTAGGCTGGAGGCTTCCGACTTCCAGACTGCCGAGTTGCTCCCAACCATTCCCAGGCTGGTTCTCTGGCCTCCTGCCAATTCAGAGACCCTGATGTCCATCTAATAAACTTCCCTCCACTTCAGCTAACCAGAGATGGATTCTATTACTTGCCTTCTAGAACTCCAACCAAAGAACCAACCTGCTTACTTCCAAATATTGCTTCAGGGG